AGTGAAATAGCACGAATTAGCCGAGATCAGATCACAAGAAGGCAAATACATCAACAAACCCTACCTCCTGCAAACACACGCAAAAACGTATACACAACACACCTGGGGTGCGTCCTTAAATTACCTTAGCTATTGCTATGACGCTAAACAAAATCAAATCAAACCAACCGAGCTTAATCGCCTGTGCAACGTTTGTAATTGATCACGTGAGTATGTCTTTCGGGATTTAAATACCTTTTAGTGTAACAGCCGTGAGTTCCGAGTACCGTTGTAACAACTTTCTTTTTAGGAATTAATTGCAATGCGAGGTGTGGCCTATCCAGAAGTATAATCTTGTGGCTTGGCACCGACCCATCAAAGTTATGCCATATATTTATTTCCACGTTTTCCACATTTAATAAAATCCACGAATCTATTGATATTGACATCGGGGAGGATTTTTGGCTATTGTCTAGTAATTAATGGTTATTAACCAATGAAATGTCAGTTAACCACTGCGGTTCTGTACAGGCTTTACAAACATGGCCACGTCCGCTTCCGCTATCATGGTATGACTGTTTTCGTTATCTAGTGGGAAGTTTTAGGGGAAATTCAAGTTGATTTAACTTTGTTTAACTTTGTATCAATGATAAGTCTTGATTTGGTCTGCCTGTTATGCTTCAATGACTTTGTCTTATCTATGAATCAAGCACAGAAGAATTGTTTCATCAAAAAGTGCTGCATCCATTTTATTTCAATATATATTCTATTGTCAATTATCAAAGGCACTGGGCAAAAGGCACAGCCTGTGTTAGCCCTCTTCATATGAATAATATACAGGTGACTGTAAATGTTTATATCATAATTATGAATTTAAGTAGCCAATTCATTAAGTCGTCAACGTATCTAAAGCTTATTAATGATCATTTTGAATGAGAATTATATTTTGAAATGCAAATTACAATAAACAGTGATACATAGATCAGCAGCTCCTGCATATCAATATAGGATGGTATATGTTTGAACGTTAATTAAATTATTTATATTTTCTCGATAGAAAATTCGGGACCAGCCAGTTAGCACAGTGTGAAGGCCGCAAGCCAATGGTTACACTTAGATTCACTAAAACTTACCACTGGCTGGCAGATAGTATACTGACCTGTATTGAATTATACGACCATACAAGGATACAATTGTTGTATCTTCCATTCATTATGTAGTTAAATCACTTGAAACCATTCAGAGCTGCACAGGTATCAACAACAAATGTTGTCAAAAGTTGTAATACACCATAATAGTTATAATGATAATGTAGTTATATTTAAAAGTTTCCATTGGTATACCAAACTTTTCAAGATAAGTACGTGTATGTAACTAGATTACGACTTAAATTCAGGAAATCTTCTCGTGATTTAAACCTATGCAATGATATGCCCAAATACTGAGATTATATAGCATGCAATAATACTAATAAATTAAAGTCTATAATTTAGAATGTCTTCTCTGAAAAATCTTTTTTTTTGTAACTAACGTAGGGTAGTGGAAACAATTGTGTTGTCTGTTCCTTGTAAATAGATACAGTCACAGGTAGGATAGTCTTTTAGGTGATCTTTTAAATACCATGATTCAGGTTATTGCATTTGATTCTAAGTTGACATATAATAAACAATATCATATTTTCTATACATATTGCTTTTGAATGTAGGGGTCACTTCATTTCCACTATAATTGGATATTGAAATAAGTTCTTTGAGTTTTGAAATGGATGGGGTCGTAACATTATCTAGTTCTAATGCATTACATTCGCGAAAAATAGAAGGAAAGTATCTATTCATTGGTAAACCTACATAAAGGAATGTTTACATGTCTGGTTCGAAATGATTAATAAAACTATTTACTATATCAGTTAAATAATGAAGCTGCATTATATAGTATCTTATACATGAAAACTAACAACTTGTGTTTTTTCCTTCTTTCCTCATTCCATATGAAGTTTTACATGCCAAAATCCTTTTAGCATACCTGTCACTATCCTTGCGAATTCTAGCTCTACAGATTCAAACAGATTGTTTCATTGTACTGTTCAATTATCCCGAACATTATCACCATATTCCAATAACGGTCAGATACAAGATAAATACAATTTAATTAGTGAAATGTACTTAAACTTTATTTCATGGACCTAAGTAAATTAATTATTTTGTAAGCTTTTTGAAAAATATTTTGTAAACGAATATTCCAAGATTCAGTTTCATGAAGAGAGATGCCAAGATGCTTATGATAATTAACATTTGAAATAATTTTATTTTGAAACGAATTTTGAGGTATAACTTTTTTTTCTTGAAACAAAACTAATTAATTTTCATTTGGATTAAGTTTAATATCCCATACCTTTAACCTTTCACCTGTTATTGTTTGAGATGCTTGTAGCAAATCATCATGAACTATCACATATAAGGAAGTGTATCATATGCAATAATTTAAAGGAGAAATAAAAATGGACCGAGCACTGAACCTTGTGGGATATTAGCATTAGCTTATTTGTATGAAGAAAAGAAACTTTCATTAACAACCCTTCGAAGAAGTTCGCCTCATATACCATATTTATTTAATTTGTTCTTACATGCCAGTCTCTATCAAAGGCCTTACTCACATCACAAAATACAAATATTAAATCTTTACCCTTAACTTACAATGTACTTTTATTGGCCCTAATAACCCCTATGATGGGTTGTTAAGAATTGAAAAATGATAACCTTCATTTGCAAAACAGTGCTTTTGTTGTGAAGAAATTGTTTAATCTATTGTTTAAGTTAAGATTGAATCTATGATCTGCATTGGAATCGAAAATGATGTGATTATCATGTTATGTAAGGAATACATGTTTCATTTATATCTGAGTGGCTATAAGTGCTGATTATAAAAACATAAATTATGTCACTATTACCCAGATGAAAAATATGTATTGGACGTTCACATAATCTTATCCATTGGTAAGGTTAAGAAAAATCTATTTCTGCAATATCTTGGTATCGCTGAGGGTCACATGGATTATACTTGTATGATTGATGCAGCTTGGGCTGCTGAAATGTATGCATATTATAGATGCTGTATTTGACTTGCATTTTACAATTCAGTGACTTTGTTGAGGAGAAATTGTCTCATTCGATGTGACGTTTAATAAGCTACATGGATTAATCTTTTACCAGTGATGTGCCTATGATTTTTGTTCTAATTGTATGTTGAATTTGGCCTTTAGATTTAGTTGCATTTACTCTCTTCAGAAGAAATGGTTTCATCCATAGATACGTTTAGGAGAAACAGTAATTTAAACGACTTGGTAGAGATAAGTGTCATGTGGAATTTACTGGCATCAAAGAAGCGGCTATGCCTGCTCTATTACATACATGTTTCGGGTGCTGTATTTGATCTATATTTCACGGTTCAGTGACTTTGTTAAACATATAGCAGGTAAAGAAGCATTGTTTTAACAACTGTCATATGGATTGTATTTAGCTCTACTGTATACACGTTAGAGACACAGGATAAGTGTTACATTGAATATGTCACACAATATAAGTGTATATATGTAAATATGCCATACAGGTTCATGACACAAGTACATGTCATACAGGATCATGAGGGGTCAAATAGGTTGAAATATTTAAACAACTTATTCTGAATACCATTATGACCAGAGTGATGATATTTGGTCATGAAGGGTTATCACGATAGTTCAAATGAATGACCTTCGTCCGAATTCAAGGTCACAGAGGTCAAATATATTGAAATCTTTTAACAACTTCTTCTGAATAAACGAAAGGTCCAGGGTGATGTGATTGGCCAAAAATACGCTGGCATGAAGGCTTCCAAGTTTGTTGAAATGAATGACCTTCGGTCGTATTCAAGGTCACAGGGTCAAATATGTTGAAATCTTATTCGGAATAACCAAAATGTCCAGGTGATGACATTTGGTCATGAAGGAAGGCTGTCACGTTTCTTCAAATAAATGACCTTTGTCCTATTTCAAAGTCACAGATGTCAAATATATTGAAGTCTTTAAACAACATCTGAATAAACGAAAGGTCCAGGGTGATGTAAATCACCAAAAAATATGCTGGCACGAACGCTACCAAGTTTGTTCAAATTATGGACTTTCACCCATATTAAAGGTCAAAGGGGTCGACTGTCTTTAAACAATCTTTAAACGACTTTTTCTGATTAACCAAACTGTCCGGGTTGATGATATTATGTAAGTAATATGCAGGCATGAAGGGCTACCAAGATTGTTCAAATGAATATCATACACCCATATTCCAGGTCACAAGGGTCAAATAGGCCAAAGACTTTAAACGACTTCTAAATAACAAAAATGCAAAGAATGGTAATTTGTTACCAGTAGCATGCTCAGATGAAATGCTATCAAATTTCCGTGTGACTGACCTTGACACACTTCCGTAGTTACATCTTATCATTTGTGTCTAAATCTTTAGTCATCTTCTCTATTAACAAAAAGGTATCAGGTGGTTGATTTTGCAAGATATGTTCTGGGATGAAGGACTATAAAATTGTTCAAATCAGTGTCCTTGTTTGACTTTCAAGGTCGCAGGGTTCAAATGTGTTTAAATGTTTTATCAGGTTCTTTTGAATGACTTTGAGTCAAGACACTGATAGTTTGCCTGTATCTTTATTTGTATCCACTTTTAAAGTTTCAATTGTTAGGTCAATACCAGGTGAGCGATGCAGGCCCAATGGACCTTTTGTGAAAGAAATCAAAGTAGGGTCATATGAAGGTCATTAGCATCTGAATCAACCACTCTGTAGAGTAGTCATTGTTACATTTTAGATGGAAATTAATTTTATCCATGTAGCACAGCATCCTTAAACGTCACTTACAAATGAAATTTCAATTAGTTTTCATGAAAATACTCTTGGCTATCTGGTCAAACACATTAATTGGATTTTAAGATGTCTCGATTTCAATATGTTTTTAATAGTACGGTACCACTCTATCATTGTAGGTAGGCAACACAACTGTCGTCAACTATAAAGACGTATTCTTGGATAGGTTTTCAACATACCCTGGAGATATACCAAGTGAAATACGCAAGATGCTTGCTGCGTACTATTTTATTTACTCGCCAGAACAGGGTCACAACATTGAGTGCAGTTTATGCGCAGCCAAAAGGGCATTTCCAGGTTTGTAAGAAATTAATTGTATCATGATACATGTAATTTACGTTATACAGCAACAAATGGCAATATTGTTTAAGATGGATGTGCAAAGAGATCATATGTATTTAAGCACAGCTTGTTTGTTTAGGCTTAACGATCCCCTGCCACAAGGTCTCTTTGGGTCTAAAAGAAAAGAAAAGAAACGAAAAAAAAACCCCAAAAAGACGATACAAACATCAAAAGCAGCTTAAAAGTTAAGATTGGTCAAATATGTCCCAACTTTAATTGCAAGAATTCAAATTATTGTAAGATTTTATCTTTCAGTCTACATATCCGATTTCATAAAACTGCGATAATCAGGACAGAACAGGAAAACAAACTTCAAACTTCTAAAACCTATCCTGATAGGCGTAATTCCGCGTCTGACTTTTAGATCATTTGCACTCGGCATGATATTTTAAAACTGGTAAGCTAAGCAAATCCTGCAAATGAATTTATAGCTAAACGGAATGTAATAAGTTAAATTCTTTTCTAATGGCGGTTGTGTTGTACACCTGGAATTAATAAACAAAATTAAGCATGATTCGGAAATGCATATATGATATATTAAATGATTCAAATAAATAATAACATTATATTTTTGGAAAACTTGTTTATGGAAAACAACGAAACTTGTTTTATACTTTTATTCCTCCTTCAAAACAATGGTTTATTTTCTTTTACTAAAGAATTTCAATAGGGAATAGTTAAAATTTGGTTGGAATAGTTTAGATGCGATGACAATAATATGGTTTGAGCAAGTAAGATCCTGGGGTCCTGGTAATAGGTGGTGGTGGTTGGTTGCTGGTGGTGAAATTGACTAAATGACCGGAATTCTCTTTCAATAACAGAATATTGGATTTGAAAAGTTCATTTATATTCTTTACCGGTTTTTTGAAACTAATGATATTTTTTCAATGATTGCATTATTTCTACTTTTCGTCTCAACGATGAAAAGTAACCATAGTTAGGCTCGGGCAACTAAAAAATCCCTTGGACACTTCTCCTGTGTTTTATTTGTTTCTGACTGTAAAGCTATTAGATAGATCATTGTCCCCGTCGACGCTCTCTCTCTCCATGTTTACGTCGTATATATGTAATGAAACAAATAATGGCCAAAACAATGTATCGCATCCCTTTCCAGACCCTTCAGTCAATCTTGGTAGCATGATTGTGCTCGTCTCTTCGTGTCCAGCAATTGTATAAAAAGGTTATGGAACGGAGATCTTGACCATGTAATGAAAATGACAACAACTGGTTCACCCGTTGTCAGTATAATTTTACCGGGCGAAATGCTTTGATGGGTGCCTTCGGCATGGCATTTCAGTGAGATAGCACTATAAAGTCGGCATCAGATCCGCGCTATCACCGGGAGGCAAGCACATACCCTGTCTCCTCCATACAAACACGCAAGCACGCATACACTGCACACACGGAGGCACGTCCTTAAATGACCTTAGCTGTTAATAGGACGTTAAACAAAATTAAACCAAACCAAACCATTGACCATGTACAATTTAATTACCCTCGGACTTAATTACGAAAAAGTGAACAAGATCCCTAGGCTAATTCGTGTAACATGATAAGGTATATTTCGTCTTGCCAAATGATAGGGAGAATTTCAACTGTTTTAATGATTTGATCAGGGAACTGAGTTTCCAGGGAGCAGGATCTATCCTAGATGTATATGTGTATTCAGCTCTTCATGAAAAGCAAATGTATAGACGGTTATAGGGTAGGAATAACATTCGTATAATTGTTAAGGCCAAGTCCACTGAAAAGGGGATGGTCCAATGGAGGGGAAAATCCTCGTAGTATGGATGTTTGTGCATCGCACAATTAAGGCTTGGATATTATTAGTTATATCGGCCTCAGGAAATACGAAACCCTTTAGGGTCATACCATCCCGTATACCCTGCCAAAAATCCGTGTAACGAATTTATTACCCCTTTGAGTCTTTTATATTATGCCATTTTGAAAACAGCGAAGCAGACGACGAATGCGAGTTGTCTCCCGTTGCCCGCCCAAGATACAAAGACTCGTGACCCGTATACCCCTTGTAAAATCACGTGATTCCACCGTATTACTGCTGAGAATCACGTGACATGACCGTATACCCCCTGAGATTTTCGTATACCCCCCGAGATTTACGTATGCGGTTTGGTACACTGTAGTTTTTAACCAATCAGATTCCTAGATTTTTCTCAAAGGGGTAATAAGTAGAGTTATAGGGTGGGGATCTCGACCGTTTCCAAGTTATGATCCAAAATTAATATTGGGCTCTGATTTTCTATTTTTTTAAACAAAATGAAGTAGACTGATTTACCTAAAGACGACAAAGATCAAATTTGGTTAATAATTTTTTAATAGTTCTATTCATTACCTTTTTTTGACTAGAACCGATTTCAAATCTCTTTTCGAAACAGTAAAAAAACGAAATCACATAATTGTAGCCACTTTTACAATTTTTCAAGTTAACATAAAATTTGTCTCTGACTTTTAGGTTCGTTTGACGTAATTTCCTTTAACATATTTTATCTTCTTTTATTGGTCTTGATGACCTCTTTGTGTTGATGGGCCGTTCAGAATCAATAATAACACTATTTCGATAGCGTTAATCTTATGCAGACTTTTGTCCCGAAGAAGAGGGCAGAAAAGCAAAATCTCGATTCTGCAGAGTTCCTATATAAGTCGCCTCATGTGATGCAATCAAATGGTCCAATATTACATGGGTCTTTTTTTATAAATATCTAAATGTAGTTTCCCTACATGTATCATTGTCAATGAGTAAATGATAATATCAGATGCAAGAAAAATAACATGACAATAGCATATTAATTGATAAAAATAATGTTCGTATTTCCTTTTTTCCCAGTGGGTCTCCCTAATCTGGAAGAGCTTCGCTGTCTCCATAACCCTAACTGTGAGGTATCCAAATACCAGCGCATTGTGGAGTACCAATTGGTAAGACAAAAATATTGTAATGATGTTTATATTTCACTGATGAATCATTATACTTATCTGTAATTACATTTAATTGGCCATCATTATCACGTGCAAAATAGTAACATGAATAAGCTACGCATAACAAACCTGACGTAACCAATGATATCACAACTGCAGGTCTTGATGCATTTCAATTCCTCTCCTTTGATTTTCAGGCCATATCGGGAACTCGTCTAGTGTAAAGACAAGGATACAGACAGGAGGAAATCAAACAGAACTTTGAAAAAGAGGAAAAACACATTTTATTGACTTTCAGATGGGTATAAAAACTCTTTCTTGATATGTCCATTGCAGAACCTTGCAATATAAATCTTTGTTTTACCTATTATTTACATAACCATGTGTAACATCTCAATTGCACATACAGCTCATTTTTGTTTTAAAACGTTCGTGTTAAGTTTAAAATAACACTATCAACAACTCAAAAAATGTCTGGGGGATAAAATTAAGAATGTGTTGTAGAATGAAAGAAGATCAGTGAAAAATAATCAAGCACTGAATCTGAAGTTTTTTAATTTTTTTAATGTGTTTTCGGTAGACAGAATGATATATATAGGAATACTACCTATACATGTACGTAACCAGGAGGGGGTCCCAGTACCACTGCCAAAACTGTTATCATGGATTTAAAACTATTTTCCACGTCATTTTTATTTATTTATTTTTTATTCATTTTCAACACATGATATAACACATACGGCACATGATTGTTGCTAGATCTAGAGCTCCTAAAGGTTAGGAGTCGTTGATTAATAAATAAATAAATCGTGACATTAGGTTTACTGACAAAAATCAAAAGCACACAAAAGACAAAGGACACGACATGTGGGACAAAGCAAGGACGAGGGAAACCTAGGTCAGAAAGATGTTAAATTTAGTATCATTTAATTTTTAAATTTGCAACCAGTGATGCATTTGTGTGTTAATCTGTATTTTATTTTAAATGTTAGTTTTAGATAGTAGAATTTTGTGAGCTTTTAATTCGAATTTGATATACTTTTACATATTTATTCATTTGCTTGCCAAAGATAATATATGGTTTATTAAATCTAAGACCAAGATTTTTAGCAATAATAGTAATTCTTATATTTTCAATCAAATTAGATACATTTTCACAGTCCCATAATATATGTGTTATTGTTTCTGGATGAGTTTTACAAAAAGTGCACATATTATTATATTATTTACCAATTTGAAATAAAAAATTGTTTGTGGTTATAATTCTATGATTTATTCTGAATTGTAACCATTGTAACTTGGAAGTGGTACAGGTATTTAAAGGATATTTGTATATATTTTTTCATGTATCTTTATCAATATTGAAATTTTGATTCCATTTCTTTTGGGCTGTGGGTTTAACTTCTTTTTTGATTAATATGGTATATATTCCATGGGCTCCTTTTTTCAACTTAGGATTAACTTGAGATTAATGAGTATACTAGGTAGTATAGTATTTTTTTCTGAATCGAAAGCTTGGCGGTTTTTCATTATGAACTTGACCTATAACATTTTTCAGACTCTGATAACTTAAAAAATTAACACGAATGTTAAATTTTTCACAAAATTCTTAAAAGCTGTATATAAGCTTTTTTTATATATATTTCTTCCAATTTCTCAATTCCAATATTTGATAATTTCTGATTATCTAATAATAATTCTACAACAAGACCCTAATTTCCTAGTTGACTGTATATCCGTCTGATCCAAGTTGCTTTGAGAGCAGTTATGAAAGATTTTAGATGTATCATTTTAAGCCCCCCTTCTTCATAGTTTTTTTTAATAATTATATCCCTTTTTACCTGATCAGGTTTACCATTCCATAGAAAATTGTACAATATATTGTTAATTTGTTTAATATATAAGTCAACAGGATTGGGAAGCGATATAAACAAATGATTAAACTAAGATATTAGTAGAGTTTTGATAACAACTATTTTACCTATTGGTGTAAGTATTCTTTTTTCCCAGACCGATATTTTAGATTTCAGTTTTGCAAACTATTTGTCAAAAGTCAGTTTGATAATTCTGTGATGGTCTTCATCATATTTTTTGCCTAATAGAGTGAAGCGTGTACTTCCCCATTTTAAGTCAAAATTTGTAGTAAAAGTGTTTTCACTGTATTTTTTGCTGCCAATTAATACTACCTAGGTCTTGGACAAGTTCATTTTTAGTCCAGAAATACTAGTAAAGTAGTTAAGAGCTTTTAGTGTTTCATCTAAAGATTTTTTTAACCATCTGGAATAACAGACGTGTCATCAGCAAATTGTGATAAGAGGATTTCCTTTTCCCTGATAAGTATTCCTTTGATATTTTTATATATTTTTTAAATTATTGATAGAATTTCAGCACATAAAATGAAAACATATGAAGATACCGGATCCCCCTGACGACAGTCTCGTCCTTTATTAAAAAAAGCTTGATAAATTCCCCCCTATGTTCACTGCTGAATGTGTATTATTCTGAAAAAGTTTTATCCATTTGATAATGTTCGGGCCAAAATTTAAATACTTCAAAGTTTTACTGATGAAATTCCTTGATACAGAGTCGAACGCTTTTTCAAAATCAATTAGAAGTAATAGTCCAGGTATATTATTATCTTCTGTATACAGCATAACATCATAAATCAAGCGTGTTTTCACCTATGTACCTACGAGGAATAAAGCCAGTTTGGATAGTACTGATTAATTTACTTACAACATTTTTGAATCTCTCAGCTACTGCACCAGATGTTAATTTATAGATTTTATTTTAGAAGTGTTTTAGGTCTCCAATTATTCAATTTATTACGAGGTTTATTACCTTAAGAAATGCAAGTTATAATTCCCTGTTTTTGTGTTACTGAAAGTTATGATATACTACATATAACTGTAATTTAATGATCTTAAAACAAATGGTCCTGATTGCTTCCAAAATATTTTTAAAAATTCAACTGTAAAACCATCGGAACCGGGGCTTTTATTTTTTTCATTTTTGAAAGTGTGTTTGTTAATTAATTTATAGTAAGTGGGCCTTCTATATTTAATGATTAATGGGCAGATAGTTTGGGTACAGTGTATGATTCTAGAAGTAATTCAAGATTAACATTTTTAAGTGAATTGTGTTCTTTGTATAAGGTTCTGTAGTCATTTTCTGTTTCTTTTGAAATTTCATTTTTTTCCACGTCATGACTTTATATTTGATAAATCATTTCTAAGTGAAAAAGTATGAAAAAAGCTAAGGCAAAAGAAAAAGAATGCTTTTGGATCTCTAATCGATATACTGTCGCTCTTGCCAACTTAGTTACCTTGCTAACGCTAACTGCATATGCAAAAAAAACTGTAGTCGTATTCTCTAGTATTTTGAAAGCATTGGGACAGGGATTTTGAAACGTTTGTGGTTTAACTAACTGTACTTTTCACACGAAGTGCCTATGCTTTTGTCATTTCTTAATAAAATTATTTTAACAAGATTATTTCGTTGTTCTTTTTGATATTTTATAAGAACAAATTACTAGGCTTGGTATTCAAGTTCTTATTCAAGATAGCAATAACTTCTTCTTAAAATTTGGCTCCGAATTCAATATATATATATATGTTTTAGTTTTTTTGGTAGTTCACTATTGTTATTTAAATTTATACACTTATGTATGTTTCAACAGACAATCACAATATCACTATCAAAAACACATGAATAATTCAATCAGAAGGCCTCATAATTGATTCAAGAGTCACATTTTTACCAACTGAAAACATATAATTGTAAAAACAATATATTGGTAAAGCTACATTAAATTGCATTATATTCAATGCATGGACCCGTACAACACGTCTTCACTTCTATCATTTTTATGCATAATAAATGAACCATATACATTTATTACCTGTGATATTGATTCAGATTTTGCAATCTAATCTCTAATCAATTACGGAGAAAAGACCATATAAGTCATTACTTGTTGATGCTTGATAAGAGGCTGTGTTAATTTTTCTAATTTTTTTCGGTGCTAAAATGTCAAAACACCGAGAATTATACTATCTTCATATCAGATTCGGAACATAAATTCAACATATCAGTAACCATAAATATACCAAAACAACAGGAAAGACACAATGAAATCATATTTCATCTATTGAAATTTATTTCTGTATAAAAGGGGAAAAGCTGATTTTTTCTGCATATAACATAACGCCGGTCCATTTGATTACTGTTACCAGTCAAGGGGAGATAACATGTTTTTTTAGAGTAAACAAAGTAATTTGATCAAACATGTTTCATTCAGATTTGTTTAGCTATTATATTAAATATGATGCAAAAGATGTAAATCCACAAAACTTAAGTTTTAACGGCACAGTAACTAATGCTTGTTATTTTAAAAGTAAATTGTATTTCTGACTGGACATAGTAATGAACTATCAGAATAATATTAATACTTAAGTTTGATTTCGAGAGAGAGGTACCAGGATTTATGATGCTGTCATTAAGTCGTTTTCAATAGCATTGCCAGATGTCTAATTAATAAATCTAATTTAATAAATCATAACACACCAAAGTTACTACAACAATCAACAAGCAAAAAAGTTGAGAAATCGCTTTAACTAAATACAACAAATTTGTATAAAATGGTTAGAAGTCTTACTATTCAAACGACATTTGTTCAGGTTTTAAAATGAAATAAACAGGCTATTACCAAGACAGCAGATTTAGAGGGGTTATCTATACATACTTTCAGCAGAAGATAGAATGCTTGACTGATATTCACATTATCTTATCAGATCTGATCCACGAAAATGAAAGAATGCAGAAGCGATATATTGCTATACTTGTATTAAAAATGCATTTCACATAAACCTTATGCAGATCTTATTATAGCAGTTGTATGTTTAATTAAGCATTAATAGAAACATTAACAAATAGCTAAAATTGAAATCGATAGCGTTGTTGAAAATAAAGATGATGTTAAATATTATATGTGCAGTAGATTTAATCAATGTAAAAGTCATGGGGAAATAACGTTCTTATCATTTGAGTGGTTATTATGATGTTTTAAATAATTTCATCATATTTTAACTCACAACAAAAATATTATCATTTCTTTTCACTACACGTAAAATTTAGCAGCTATTTTACAATCTATTTCAACAGTAGTCAAGGCAGTTTTGAGTTTCAACTATGTTAGCCCTTAGCATCACCGATGAGTTTTAGAAGGACAAAACAGCTGTAAGATGCAGTATAATTCATTTTTGGCATACTGGCACTAATTTCAAATTTTAAAGGTGCAGTTACCTATGTGTGTTGCGTTTATCGTTTTGGTGCATGTCGCCTATATCAATTGAAACTCGCTTTCATCAAACGATGATTACTTAAACTAGAAAATGTCCGTAAGACATGAATGCTCCCTTCACGACGTGAAATTGTTTTCAGTGTTTCATGTTCTATAAATAGTTACAATCAATTTGATCTTGATACCCTGAAATTTGTTCACTCACAAGGTACTGTTATTTCAAGCTGATAAGCTGATTTTAATATTCATACGGTTTTTTTCCTTCTATTCTTTCCATAACAAATTGAGACAGTGTCATGTATGGAAGAGACAATGATGATTTCTAATGTATCTGGATATAAAACAACTGATATTGTGTACAAACTTTCATCAAAATATGTTAAGAAATGAAGTAGCTAGAGTGATGACACTGAATCGATTGAAGTCTCAAGTGACCTATTGCGATCGCCTTTTGTCCGGCGTCGTCCGTCGTCCGTCGTGCGTCCGTAAACAATTTACATTTTCGACTTCTTCTCCAAAACCCTTGAAAGGTCAACAAATTTAGTGGCCGATTTGGTCCCCAGCCCCCAGGGGCCTGAGCGGCCGGGCCAAAAGGGGTCAAATTGACTAAAATTTCAAAAATATTCTTCTCAGGCCCAAGATATGGTAGAATCAAATACTCTTCATAGATGGACGGGTCTTAAGGTGCTTTACCAAATTTGAGAATTTCCTGACCCTGGGGTCTCATGTTTCCCCCTGGGGAGGGGGTAAACTTTACTATAGTTAATATAGGGAAATCACATTTTGGACCAACATTTGTTTAATTTCCATTGGAAGTAATTCAATTTGGGTTAGCATTATCAGTATTAGGTAGCAGTTTGATAGTATGCACATATGAGCCCTGACTGCCCCCCCCCCCCCCCCCCCCCCCCCGGGGGCTGATGGGTTGGGCCAAAAAAGATTGAATTGACTGAAATTTTTAAACTCTTCTTCTCAAGACCAAGATATGGTAGAATCAAACACTCATCATAGATGGAATGGTCTTAAGGTGCTTTACCACATTTGTGAATTTCATGGCCCTGGGGTATCACGCTTCCCCCCTTGGAGGGGGTAAACTTAACTATAGTTTATTTAGGGAAATCACATTTTGGACCAACATTTGTTTAATTTCCATTGGAAGTAATTCAATTTGGGTTAGCATTATCAGTATTAGGTAGCAGTTTGATAGTATGCACATATGAGCCCTGACTGACCCCCCGTGGCTGATGGGTTGGGCCAAAAAAGATTGAATTGACTGAAATTTCAAAACTCTTCTTCTCAAGACCAAGATATGGTAGAATCAAACACTCTTCATAGATGGAATGGTCTTAAGGTGCTTTACCACAATTGTGAATTTCATGACCCTGGGGTATCACGTTTCCCCCTGGGAGGGGGGAAACTTAACTATAGTTTATTTAGGGAAATCACATTTTGGACCAACATTTGTTTAATTTCCATTGGAAGGAATTCAATTTGGGTTAGCATTATCAGTATTGGATAGCAGTTTGATGGTATGCACATATGAGCCCTGACTGACCCCCAGGGGCTGATGGATGGGGCCAAAAAGGGTTGAATTGACTGAAATTTCGATTCTCTTCTTCTCAAGACCAGGATATGGTAGAATCAAACACTCTTCATAGATGGCATGGTCTGAAGGTGCTTTACCAAATTTGTGAATTTCATGACCCTGTGGTGTCACGTTTACCCCTGGGGAAGGAGGGGGGGGGGGCAAAATTTATTATGGTTTATAATGGCAAATGATACTTTAAATATTACATGTTAATAACTTGATTGGAATTATAACCCTGAGTTGACAGTTTGATACTTTGAAAATTTTGAGCCAGCCCTACCCCCAAGGGCTGTAGGGTAGGTCCCAAAGGAGTCAGTGGGCAAAAATTTCTTCATTTTCCTTTTTTAGAATCAGAGGTGCTAGTTTAAAATACTTTTTAGTTTTAAATCTGTATGATAGATATTGAATAAGGTGGTTTTATCGTTTTTTGTCACTTTGAATAATATTTCTGTTCGTGTTAAAAACAAAATCAACTCTAGATCTCTGTATGAATATATCAGGTGACCGTTAATGCCCATGGGGCTCTTGTTTATATATAGCAACCGTGACTTGTCCTTGAGTTTGGAACCCTGGCACACAACGATGTCCGAGGTATACTCATACTTGACCTTTGTATAAAGTTTGACGAAAATCTGTGAAAGAATGAAGTTGCTGCTTAATGTTTACATTGAATCGGAACGAGACGGGGAGGGACGCGACGGGACGAACATGGGCAACACTGTATTTTATGGCGGGGACATAAGCAAAAATTTGTGATTGACTTACGATCAGTTTTGTATTTGTTAAGATGGCAGAGACAGCCTCAAATAACAAAGTAAATATCAAGTAGATAATCGTTTTTTCCTGTCAATATCTTTTAACAAAAAAAAAAAATGCAAGATTTTTTTATCACATCTGCAAGGGCAAACATGTAATCGAAACGACAACAGTTATGAAAGCTGTCAAACGATGTATCATTGGGTTATCACTGGGCTATTTGAATATGTATCAGCGGGTTATTTGAATTTTTATCAGTGGGTCATTTGAATAAGTATCATATGGTAACTTGAATATGTATAAGTGAGTTATCACCAGGTTATCGCATATGACATAGCATTTAATGAAGGGAAGATTTGTTATCTTCCACACTGAATAATGCCAAAAAATAGAAATAAACAATATCTACTATTTTTACATTGAAACTTTATTGGTCATTGGTTAATGACATGTTAGTGGTACCGGGGCAGATCCCGAGTATATGTTGATCATTTGTCACTAGTCACGGCGGCAACCAATATTACCGCTTAACGATGCTATTGCACAATTTGCTTTGCACAAAGGTTTTCGTATCGGCCCAAACCTGTCGCAGGCTTTATAACAGTTTGTCAGACGGTCCCTACAAGTTTGATGCATGCAAAGTCGTCCGCCTGTACTATTTCCGGAAGTGATGTCATCAGCATCATAGAAACAGCAAGGACTAATACGATAAATTTCATCATTTTCTGAAATATAAAGAACATATTTACCGAATCTATAATATTCTAAATCAATCGAAACATGTTCCTGTGCCTAAAACTGGAATTTTTTTTATCTGAAAATAGGTAATGAGTTTTTTACCCCCTGTTTCAAAGAAAATGTAACTGTTTTTGCAACAATGTTTTGAAATACCATATTCAATTTCATTTATTATTACGTTTTTAGAAATTAAGCGTGCTCCTTTGAGTGGAAATTTAAAATGTTATCAAAATCACAACATGTACACTTATAGGCGTCAAACCTCGAGATGATATTTATTTAGGTGAAATCCAATTTTGTTTCTTTCATGTGTCGAAAAAAAGCGTGAAATGTGTAAACAGCTAAAGATAATTACTTTTTTTGAAGATCGACGGATTTTTTTTAAAAAGGTGGAAAATGGGTAGGGTATGAAACAAGTTCCAGTCTAAAACGTTTTTATTGAATGTGTTTCAGCGAGAGGTAAAACGCTATTTTATGAATGAATTTATGCTGCAAAAGAACAACATAGTATGATGACTTCAATTTCCGATCTTTAACTTTCCTATACTTAATATTAATATTTCTGCTTCTCCTTCGGTTTCAGAATGTTGCAATTGATTCTATATACATGTACAAGGGGTTTACTTGTAATATTTCCGAGATAGATATAAAAAAATCTTCATCAAACCGTTTCTCTCGAAAGCGAAAACAATCGAAATCTAACACGGCAAATATGATATTCGGACCAATTCCTGAATACTGAATCAACTACGAAATGTAAATTACTACCATCAAGAAAGGGGCAGTTCGTGATCAGTAAATCGAAATTATCTCGCTTATCTTACAGCTTTGTAGAAAGTCGTCCCTGTTGTGCATGTTAATATATAATGCTGGTAATTTAGAAGAAATCTGTAGCATACGTTTGCAAGATTACAAGTTCAGATGTGTTTATACGATCGACCTTTCTTGTTATTTGAAGACAGCACATCATCAGAATAGTGTTCCCTCAAAGTCATCTTCATTCTCATTTACATAACAGTTTCAGCGGCGACGACGAAGACTACATTGATGATAACAATGATGATTATTTGAAACATCCTCACACGACAACGTTAACTGATAACAAACCAAAAGATTTACTTACCTTGGAGATTGGCTGATGTCAATTTGCTCTAACAATGTAGGTTCGGTAGAAGCAGTCAGCGAAGTGATTTTTACTTTAGAAACGTTTTCTTTATAAAGACTTACAAGGTGGGAACAGCTGGTGACAAGTCCATATATTGCAAGCAACATGTTTTCTTAACGTTGATAATTTTGTGTGATGTATAATATAAATTTCAATAATTCATAATTATCACGCGGAAGATATATCAACTTTATTGCTGATCCGGTACTGGAATCAAATACACAAAATCTAATCAAACTAAAAAGAATCGTTAAAAGAACCTCGAGAACAGCCGGTACACCATTTCCGCACTTGTTTCATTTGGAAAGATTTGTTTTTCCCCCAAATATCTCACAACAGCTATACATTATTAAACTCTTTTGTAATAAATGTGCGTGTATATGAGCTTGTCGTATGAAACATTTGATCCGATATTCTGCGCTGTATTGGTTTTATTCTGTGTCAACACACAAGAACAAATATATCACAGCCGTCAACACGCAATAACAAAATATGCACTAGCCTCAACACACGAGGACCAAATGTATACTAGTCAACATACACGGACAAAATAAACTACAACATTATTGAACACGGACAAGATATACTACATAATTCAGGCACAAGGACAAAATATACATAAAAGGTAATGTGCAGACAAAATATACCACATAGTAAACCAATACAGACAAATAAACACCAGCAACAACATACAAAGACCAAACAGATAAGCATTACAGCGTCAGCATACAATGACAAAATAAAACAAAGTATCAACACACGGGCAAGATATTCACCAGCTTCGCCATATGAGGACCAAAAAAACTTTATCAAACATTGACAACGTCTACCACATCGTTATTGTACAAAGACAAAAAAGACAAAAAATACCAATGCGTCAACACAAGAAGTGATATCAGAACATAAATATACAAAGAAAAATATCCCACAATGTCAACACAGATTGACAAAATACAACACAGCATCGACAAACGAGGCACAATTTAATACAGCTCACATATACGTCAGCACACATAGACGAATCAAAGTCACGTACTGTACACACACAATTAATTAGATATTAAAGCATTCATCGGTGCAGGCAAAAGCTTTATTTGAATCAATCATGATAGTATATTGACATGATATTCAAAGTTACCGGTTTTTAGACTGACACCTCAACTCACAGTGTTTAATTGTTCAAAAATATTGGGATAGACTTATTCTTAACCTATCCAATGAGACATATAACCTTTCTGGTATAAATAAGGATTAGTGCGGGCCTGCATAACCTAACTGCTTTCCAATGCTGTTTGCAAACACAAATCATATCTGTTCCCTTGATACGGGCACAAAAGCAAATCCCAAATTATGCAGGGGGTTCCCACATCAGTCGTCTATTACGATACATGCAATGGGTAACAGTTGGCTCATTCTTTTCTCGGTACCCTTCTTGCAGGTATGGTTTTACAGAGTGTCTACGCATTGTTTCGACCTTCTATGACCTTACAAAATTCAGAACTGACGATAGTATTTTTTCTTACTTGATCAGTTTGCGTTCACGTTATATGCTGGACCATATCTTCTAAAACTACAATGGTTCCCGCTACGAAGATACGGTACCATGTTATGTATATTTGAGTACAAGAATTGGTGTTAATTTAAAATAAATACAGATGTATCTAAGATAATACCATCATGACTTATTAATTACATCATTTGTATTTTGTACCCTGCATTTTTTATAATCAGACAGTACGATAATCAAAATACTTGATAAGCTCTAGTCATTTATATACGCATGAAAAAGTATTTGTGAACAACCTAAATTTACATAATAAAAATTGTCAAGTTATTGACATAACCCGATTTGCGAAACAAAATTCAGAACTTTTTAAATTCATTATTGGCAGATTTATTTATATGCATAAATGAGGATTGATCTTCCTTGACGGCGTTTACGTTAGAATGAACACAGTTGGCACGGATACATATTTCGCTGCGCGCTAGCCATCAAAACAAAGGTCAATCCTTATATTTACACCATAACATTTGTTTAAATGCTTTACGAAAAGAAACAAGACGTACGGAAGCGAGTTACTACGATGGTAACTACCGTAGCCGTGGTGGCTAGGATCATATAGTTCCAGTAGATCACCAGTAAATCTGTGTAGCCCTTCGATCATTTTCCTTTCATTTCTAACGGTCGTTATTGTCGCGCATTGACACACTGCTCTGGTAGTGCCGCGGTCGAATGTTCCAGACCGAAGCCGCCATTGCTTACATATTTACATACTTACATACTTACCGCCTAAAAAAGAATGTACATCCTTGGAATAAGAAATTTGTCAGCATCGCTTTGTCGAATAATAAGAGGTAATGAATCCCGAATATGTGCCATGTTTCCAGATGTTGAAGGAACCAAGATATCGCTGTCATCGTTTTGTTATCTCGCTGAAGCGTGAACGGCGCCATATTTGAATAAAGAATCAATCCGCCGAGCCTTTTGTCACTCTGAATACGCTAATGTTTAGGCAGTCAGAGTTAACTAAGCTGAAGAAGGAAAACATGTTAATACATTGCCTGTTAATCAAACCAACTAGCAACAAAATAGAAATGAACACAACAACGACTCACATAATCATAAATGAAGTCAACCAAATGGTTTAAATAGACATGTGTAAATAGCAATATTTCAATGCATTTGTTGCAATATATTTCTCATGTAAAATGCGTCATCATTTTACTAACATATAGTTTCAGAATGGAGGTGAGGAGGTTTGATGATTCACAATATTAAAAACATGTATGCCAGAATATAGAAAAGTAAAAGTAGATGTTATACTATTACAACCAAACATACCCGAACAGTTAGATATACATGACAAATTAATTGTAATATACAAATATTCTGAAAATAAAGAAAAACCTTACCTTTTCCTTCTGAAGTGATAACCATTCATGAGAGAAACTTGAACACTTACCTTAATATTTTCTTATTTCGTTGTGTGCGAACCCATTTACAACAGTATTATATATAGAGTAATGAAATGATACATTGTACACATATCATTACTTAAAGTGGGGGTAAATGGGATGATACAGTAATTGCAGCTGTACAAGGGTAAGAGTGTCATGAACACGAAGTTGCAATCCTTCTTGGTAGACAGTTATTTGATTTGAGAGAAATAAAGTTCTTCTAGGTAACAAAATATTCTCTTATATTTTCCCAGAGAAGGCTCAAATCAACAATATATACAACAACGTTACCAATTAAATTGTATAGATGCAAGGATTAAAGTTCCAACTATATTCATGCGTTAATACGTATGGCATCAAAAGTAATACATGTAAATGGGGAACATTTTGTACTTTTCATTTAGTAAAGAGCATTTATAAAAGAAAAACATCTGAACATGTTTATTAAATATATCATGAAACGAAATTAGAATTAAACCCTATGTTTGTCAGTATCAAAAGTATCTACTTTTATATAATTACTGGTTTCACTTTGGGTTTGACATACTATTTTGCTTACTCGAAACAATGAATATTATCAAAGTTTTTTCCTTCTGAAAAAGACTAGACAAATTTAATAAAATTTAATAATTGTATCATATCTAAAACCTTAAATCATGGTTTGTGACTCATAATCACGATGGTTTGTGCAATGCCAAAGCTAATCATCAAACGATTTTAATTGGCGAAGGAGTTGCTTTTATTTAAACACATGTACTTCGAAGAATTTATTTATACAAATAAGAACAATTCTTTATCCCTATGTTCTTGTATACAATGTACCTACCGATCGAGATTTCGTCACTAGCCGGTTCTATAATGGCGTCCCCGTCGACGCGGTAGATGAACTTGCCAGCTATGCCTGTGTTTGATCTGTTTACAAGATTGATGACGTCATTATAGTCAGAACTGTTCACAGTGTAGCTGTTTACACCGTCGCCAGCATTAAACCCAACCTTAAATGGAGGAAAAAAAAAATCATCGAAACAACCAGCAAGACATAGTAATTACATGAAATTGTTTCGTATACTGTTGCCATTGACAATAATTATAAAGACGTGTGTTGTTTTAACATATTTCTTTTGCCTGTGACAAAAAAAACACCTTCGAAACCAATGATCACCCGTTTTCTCTAACCATCTTCATTTTCCCTGTTTGAAATATCCTTTGGTGTTCAAACGACGGGATTCCCCAATCATAACAATAGTATTTCGTCACATCATAAATGTGTTGACCCCGTACATTATCATCGCGTATTGTAAATGTATGACTATGGTTTGTCCTGGTTTGTCAAGGTAATGGTACGGTCCACCAACGTAGTGCTACATCGTCCCTAGTTGTGCCAAGGTGTCACTTCGGTACCACTACGGTTTGACTATGTATATAGAGGTTACACAACGAGTGGTTGTTGAATATGGTATTTATTTCACTCGAGTTAGTTAATTTTCAAAAGTTACAAAAGACACGAGCTTTAGCGAGTGTCTTTCTGTAACTTTTGAAAATTAACTAACTACTCAACAACCACGAGTCGTGTGATCTGTTTCTACCACAATCTCATGATCAGTCGGAAATAGGTGTTTGTTGACAAGGCTGGCGTAGTGATATGACCCATGTAAAAAGTCACTCATTAATAATCAAAAATGACTCTTTTTTTTTTACAAATTTAATTATTGTCAAAATTAATGTTTCGGCAACACCTTCATGAAAAAATAATATAGATGAACGACTTTAAATATTGAGAGTAGCCGTATTGCATTAATTTATATAAATTAACCACGAACTATATGCGCGTAAGCATATCGTACGAAGTCTGCCTCCCGCCAAGTGATGAAACCGTTGTAGACGAACTTATCGCTGTCAATATCCAAAACCATAGGCCTGCGTTTCTTCGTGACGGTTCTATGGTTGACGTTTATAGTGAAAGTTCAGCCATAGTCAGACCGTCTAAATAGCGATAACGGGACGTTGGGAGAACGAAATATTTCCCGACACTGTGACAGATCGATCTTGTTTTGGTTTCACGACCTGGACATGCGACGGTGTGACGTGGAAACGATATCGAGCGTCTGTAGCAATTTTGCCTGAAACTAGCGAGCAAATCTTTAAGTATCATCTTTTAATATTCCATTAATAACCCCCTTTTCCGCATAACCTCACAAAGTAACCAACATTTGTCGGATGTTGACAGCCGACGACGTAAACAAAACAGCAGGTGGCAAAAAACACGTAGAAAAAGTCTTCACGGTCAAAGTTCATCTTCTCGACCAATCAAAACTCTTGAAGGTCATATACCACGTGTGGTATATAACTCATATTTAACTAACAGTCTGCGTGTTTATTCAATGATCTGAGAGTGGAATAACACAGCGTATTGTGGTAGAAATCTTATTTTTACCTCTGACTAAACAAGAAGCACGTCTCAAACCACTTTAAGACTTAATCATGCCTCCTCGACCACCGCTGCCTAGAAGAAGGCCAGGCCAAGTCTTCCTTTCTCTGATGGAAGTGATTAATCACCACAGCTTTCAAAATGTGCAACCTCTGAACAGTTTGAGTCGGACGAAGACACACAGAAGTCAGCTGAAGTCGGTTTTTGTGGTTGTTGATGACGTTCATGATGTAACTCCTTCTAAGACTGAAGTACCAAATGAGTTTGAGCAGATTTTGACCTCTATTTATAGAACCCGAAACTGTGACCAACCTTATTCCTTCCATCACTGCCGTACAGCAAACGTAGCACCACCATACTTTTAAACTACCAAGTCGTGTTGTAACCATGCTACTCAAAAATCCAGGGGCAACCGTGAATTTCGTAGTCACCTTAATGGAATGGTTGTAGAAAGAAAAGGCACATAATGTGTTAGACAACGCGGTGCACCGTTTTTGAGTCGGCGTGGTCGTAATTACACTGTACTACTGTCATGAGCTCACCTACTGTTGGTGTGGGTCACCGTGACATAGACAAATAAAAGTCACTCCGAATGGCCATGGAAGCTTGCACGGCGGTTCTATTATGGTGACAGAACTACTGCTGAATCCAAAGGTTTTAAACAGTTAAAAACTACCTTAGAGAAACGCGGACCACTCAGGATCAACACGGACTACCGGGGCTTCAATACGGACTCGCTACGGATACCCAGGGTTACCCCTTGTTTGAACACCCAGGCAGGTTATGGCTCGAGAAAAGAATAAACCTGCTGTTTACTCACGGCTTGTATCGTAAGAGGCGACTAATATGGTTAGGAAGGCAATGGTTTCTTCCCCCAGGCCGGGACATACAAAAGTCTTTAAAAAGGGTAGTTATTATTCCCTGCCTTACATTCAGCATTTAGGAAAACAACAACAATTGGTTTACTCTTTGTCAGTATCATGTGACTGGGCGGAATGCTTTGCTGGGTGCCTTCGGCATGGTATATCAGGGATATAGCATTATAAAGTTGAGTCAAAAATTAAAGAGGAATTATCTTGTGGTTTGGCTACAATGGGACAGGAACCCTTAAGGTGTAACTTATATACATAATTGATACAATACTATAGGTATGTCGTGCTATTATTGTCTTATCATTGTGCTTACAACAGCTTTTGTGACGTAATCAGCATATCCAGCCCATTCTATTTTCTGGTAATGAAACATGGCAAAAGATGTCGCTCCATCAGTTACAAGAACGATCTGGAATGTGTTCCTCTACAAAATAGAACATATATATTAATGCAATTAATTAATGAATTGGGATTTGCTTTGGTGTCCTCTACTTGGCGACACAAAAGCGACCAAAATAAATCTGCTGCGCCTATTGCAATATTTGGGATCTTTACCTTTCTTTCTACTTCTAACAACCTTTTATTTCCTAGTGCCTTGCTTGGCACACCTCATTTTTAGCTTTAATGTTGAGCGTTCTCCAAGGTGAGGAAGGCAATGGGTTCTGTCCCCAGGCCGTAACATACCGAAGTCCTTAAAAATGGTAGTTGTTATTCCCTGCTCAACATTCAGTATTAAGGGGAATGGCAATAACTGGTTCACCCTTTGTCAGTATAATGTGACCGGGCGAAATGCTGTGCTTGGTGCCTTCGGCATGGCATTTCAGTGAGATAGCTCTATAAAGTCGGCATCAGATCCGTGCTATCATAAGGAGGCAAGCACACCAACATACTCTTGCATACATACACGCCAGCACGCATACACTACCCACATGGAGGCACGTCCGTAAATTACCCTAGCTGTTAATAGAACGTTAGAAAACGTTTGGTCCTCTTTACGTAAAAAAATGATTATGTGTGACGTAAGAATGCGCAGGTGAGGAAGACAATTGGTTCTGTCCCCTGGCGGACACATACCAACAAACTCAAAATCGTACATGAGTAGTTTTTATTCCCTGCTTATCGTTTAGCAATTACGATAATGGCAACAACTGGTTCACCCATTGTCAGTATAATGTGACCGGGTGGAATGCTGTGCTTTGTGCCTTCGGCATGGCATTTCAGTGCGATAGCACTATAAAGTCGGCATCAGATCTGTACTACAATAAAGAGGTAGGTACACAAACATACCCTGTCTCCAGCACATGTTCACACATACACACATACGCAAAACACATGGAGGCACGTCTTTAAATTTTAGACATTAGCTGTTAATAGGACGTTAAACAGAATAAAAACAAACCAATAGTGAGCAGACAACCTCCTCTCTGCGGTCTGCTCTACTTTGTTTTTAATGAACCAATGTAAGGATGATTTGCAAAAATGTTTATCTAATTAAAAACGAAATGATACACACCAGATATCATAACTCGACATAGTCTTAAATCTCTGACACATTTCATATCTCTTGCGGTTTAAAAATATTAATAAATAGTCTTGAATTACATATTCACATGTACGAAACATGAATTTGGAAAAAGATGGAGATTTAGGAAATTCGTCCGACGCATCGTCTATCACTAATATTTGATCTCATGTCGATCACACAAAATGAAATTCAGCGGAAACGCCCAGCGGGTGAGTTAGGGTCTTAAAGTTCATTTCATCAAATTACAAATACATTATGGTAATTCCCACCAAAAGTTAACAAAATATATCCAAAAGTGTCATTTTTCTATATACATTACAGTTAGCTCCAATGGGCGGAATATCTGCCTCTGGAGAAGATTGTAAATTGTTTTGCAAATTTGACGCCCATTAGTCCATTGAATGGAGTAAGGATCTCAAATTAATAACACAACACTATAATCACATTACAGTTCTAATCAATTTAAAAACGTATTTTCCACCGGAATTAAGCAAAATATGCCCAGTAGTGTGAATTCCCTATGTAACATATACACCCTATTCAAGGGGGAATATGTGGTAAGGGGTACACAAATATCACAATTTTGATAAAGCACATAAGCACTTTTCAATAAATGAATATAATTGGATTCAAGCTTATCCTGGACTGAAAAATGAAGATTGTCCATATTGTTTTGCGAATTTGACTCCTTTTTGCCACGCTCTTCAGGCCTGGGGATTAGTCAGGGAACTTAATTTTCATTCTTTCAAATTGCAACCTCATGATTATAATTCCAGCCAAGTTTGAAATATACCCTATTAAAAAAACAAAATATATCCAAAAGTGATAAACCCCTGTATTAACTAAAGTAAACGTAACCCCCTGCCCAGAGGGGAAAGGTGACCCGGGGATAATGAAATGCACATCTCTGATAAAGAAGAATATCTGATTCCATCAGGTTTGCCTTTGACTATGGAATTTTAAGCTTCCTACAAAACTGCGTTGATTTTGGTTCAGTGGTTTTTGAGAAGAAGTCAAGTGTTAAAAGTTTACGGACGGCGGAGGACGAAGACGATTGGCTATAGCTCACATGCGCAATCCAAAAAAGGCTGCTTGAGGGACGAATTGTTTATGAAATATTAGATCTGTCACGTAGATATCAACCTTCTACTCGAGAGTCTCTGGTAAGACGGACAACCAACGATCCCCCTTAGGGGTTTCCGTTTCAAAGAAATTGTTTGACATCGCGCCAACAATGCAATTCATTCAGGTAGTGACAACATAGTCATATATATACGACAGAACAAGTAAAAGAAAAAGAAAACATTTCTCGTGCTACCGGGCGAGATTGGTGTCGAAGGGGTCAGCCACCATACGGGGAAGATTCTCAAGTTGCACATCACGAGACCTACGACATAGAAATCTTCACTTTGCATCAACTATTAATCTTTGCCTCACACGGATAACAAACCATTCTAATATCCAGAAACGTCACTGACCACTCGGGCTATAACACCTGATAGCAAGTACGGTAATTGCAATGTGTTTACATTCGGTTAAAATCTACCATCTTTGCTTTACCTTTGTCAGATCATCTCTTGTTGCATTCCAGCATGGAACATCTACCCAGGTTGCTATAAAAATCTTGGTTGGTTGAAAAGAGCTTTCATGTGGAAAAAATGTCGATACGTCTGCCTGAGCGCGATTGAGATGTTCAGAGTAGGAACTGAGATTGTACCAAACCTGACCAGTTTGCCGAGTGTCAACATCCATCCAAAACGGTGCTATCAAAGGCATAGAACGTAGAGGAAAGGGTTTCGGCAAGTACCAGGATACTGGTACGATAAAAGACAGATGTCCATTGTTGTTAACCTGAAACANGGGGGGGGTGGTGTCATACTGGAACCAGCTTGTCTCTCCGTCTCTGTCAGTAGGAAAAGTCTGTCCGGACTACATCTTCTAAGGTAATGGACCAATTACTACCACCAGAAGTTGTGCATCCAGGTATTATTTTTCCATTCTGACCCCTTTGAAAGGAGTGGCGTTATGGTCCTTTGTTGAAAAAAACTTTGTTTGCCTCCTAAAACACTTGGCCGATTTCAATGAAAGTTTACAGATATGGTATTTACCCCCTGATGTGGTTCATAAGGGTAGTATGTTTTCATTTAGAGTCATTTCAAGGAGTTAAAGTCATTTGTTAATTCTTTGTCCTGACAAGTCTTTCTTAACTACGAGGACGATTTCAGCAAAACAGGTTCATCTTGGCTAACACGATTTGGCATAGACGTATGTTTTGGCATGGGAAGGGAGTGCAGGAAGTATGTTGGTAACCTATATACATAAATAAGTGTACAGCTCAGTTAATAGAGAAATCATTACTGGTGGGAGACTATGGATTGCTTTGCAATGCTTTCTCTTCGTCAGCCTTTTGCTTACAGTTCTAGTTCTCGGCTATATCATTTAAAGAAACACAATTTGCCGGTGGTTAAACGATATATTTCGTTTTAAATTTTTATACACGATTTATGTAAAATGTAATGCACATCTATTTTCAGAAGAGTAATCAATGAATGTCACTAACAAGAAAAGGGCAAAAACAGAACAATACAGACCCGTACACGTTCGCTGTTCCACTTTCAGCGTACCGTTTGCGTAGCATTTCCGTACCGTTTGCGTAGCATTTGCGTATCACTTGCGTAGCTTTTCCGTAGTACTTCCGTACCATTACCGTAGCATTTCCGTAACACTTGCGTAGCGTTTCCGTAGCACTTCCGTATCGTTTCCGTAGCATTTGCGTCTACATCTTTCCATTTAAAAAGCATTTCTGAAACGTTCGGTCGAAAATTTAACGGAATATATATTTGTCGAAACGAATTTAAAAAAAACAAACATTATCAACCGCATTACGTGAAAATTATTCCAACTATCATATTAGTCTGAAGAAAAAACCCACAAAAATGACGGTTTACACATATATGAACGTAGCAGCCCTCCTCCCATGGGCCTACTGTGTGTTTCCCACACCCGCAGCTAGGCCTTAGGGGTAATTTAAATAACAGGCATACAGCTGGCCATGTAGTAATGACCTGTCCCTTGTTGAAGGTATAAACTACTTTAGTGGCCGTTATAAAGGTTGTTAGGGCAACATGGTCACCCGCTGACAGATACTTTTCTTTCAATATATCTATATACCTGAGAATATAGGCAGTGATAATGCATGGACCATTCACCTGTGATCACATTGGATTCTGATGTGCTGTACATGATCAAGGTCACATTCTGTGATTTCAAGGCAATTAAGTCCATGACAATTAATCCAGTTCATTGTCTATCCATCACGTACAGCTGTATACAGGTAAATCAGTTCAAGCTAAAAACCTACAGGCAAGATACTTTGGCTGTCCCTCGATCAGGACCCGAGGCACAATTTCATTTCACAACAGTGACTTAACCAAGGTAAACTAATATTTTACTTGGAATTCCTAATTTATTAAAAAAAGTCCCTTATTAGAATATTTAACTTCTCAAGTAGATGATTTGTTTTTAAACTAATCTATTTTTTAAACAATCTATCACGAGTTCTGTTATCAGCGACCAAGGTTGAATACTAACCCTAATACGTAACAAACTGTTCATATCAGATTATTGAAAATGATGATGTGATATTCATTAAAAAATCATTATGAAGATAGCTTAATTGTCATCATGTGACTGAGTTCCTGAGAAAATAGAGTGTGCTTCCTTGTTGTCTATAGCAGAGACGTATATATTACAATACGTCTCTGTCTATAGTAAGTTTGTTAACGATGTGTGGTAATTATAAAGGTGTCAAAAATCAGTCAAGCGGTTCCGGGCTAGTGTACCTATGGTTCAATGAAAAAGATAATTGACCTTTTACAGCTGACCAATTAGGACTACTTAGCGCCTTTAGCAAGTTACGCAATGGACAGTATATATCATAGGCTGGGATTAACCTGGCCTAGGGGATATTTGGGAAAATTGTATAAACGTCAGCAAGATTTATTAATTAATTAAAGAAAGGTTTATTGATTTGTTTAGAGAAGAATGTGCAGAAAAAAATAGAATATACTCAAAAGCAAATTTTTACAGATATATTTACGATCATTGATCCACAAAACTACCTGCGTAAACCCATACAAAAAGAATATCTGAAAGAAATAAAAAAAAAATCTCCTCATAACTGAAAATTAGAAAAGGGGCGATATCAAATCATTGAATCGTCGAGTGTATAATGTTTGTAATTTAGATGATGTTGAAGATCATGTCATTCTGATTTGCGAGCAATTGTTTTAAAAACTATTATATTAAAAAGCCAAGCATGTTTAAATTGAAAAGATTATTGACTGTGAAAAAAACAAAAGAAATAACGAACGGAAATATATAAAATTTGCATATTCGAGAAGAACCTAATTATTATGAATAGATGTAGTTGCACTTGTAAATGTGTTGTGAGTGTGTATAATGTTGTGTAATGTTATTTTGTATTTTGCACAGTTAATATCAGAAATGTTGTTACTTTGTAACTGGTGAGTCCAACGACTCAAAGTAATAAAGAACTTGAACTTGAACCAGGCGGTGTGGCTACGTACATGTATGACAAAGTATGAATTATTGTAGCACTTGCACCAACATGTATTGAGCACAGACAAACAAAATGTTATGTAGTTTTGCCACTCATCTATTGTGGCGTTGTCTATAAAAAGTCTGACAACGGTTAGAGATGTATATTTTAAAGCAAACATTTTCATTTGATTTGGTGTGCGGTACCATTCCCCATCACCAGTTTCACGAAAAATTACTTAATTATAGAGACTTCTTACCTTGAAATTTCTGGAAATAGTCATCATCTTCCCTCAACGCCATAACGTTTTCGTGTGGAACTAGAGACAAGAAATGGTGAGCATCCTCACATAGATATACATGTATACCCCCCCCCCCCTCCCCAAGGGATTTTTTTTTATAAATGAATGATAAATGTATCTNATTATAAATGAGTGATAAATGTATCTATTAAATAACCCCCTCCCCCCACCCACACCCTTTTACTTTGCTCTACTGCACCATGACTAATTGCCCCTGGACCCTGATCAGAAAAAGCTATCGCCTTAAGCCTACACCCTCCTTGATCCACGCCTGGTTAGGTACAAATGTACATGTACAAACGGAAAAATACATATTGTAGATATATTGAAGTTTGACTGTGGTCTCAGTCCCTATGACATCAGACCCCTATACCCTCCGCAGTACACACCCCTTAGGGTGTGCCAGACTGTCATTGTTTCTCCAGTACCAGGATTCAGACAGGTAAGATTTACCTGTAGAAAAGTCAGTATAGATACCTACATTTTTATGATCGATAAAGAAAACATATATTCTTATTAATATTAATACTAAAAAACCCGTAACAAGTTTACTTACTTTCAATATTAATTAGTCTTTTATTCGGTAAGCAGGTGGAAATACTTCTGACCGTAACTTATTATTATCTATGTGTCGCGTTGCTCTGTTAGCGTCCGTCAGGTCTTTGTGATGGATATATTACATGTACCAATGTTAGATCGACTTTTATCTTTATAAATCACGAGACATTTCTGTTTGTTTCACACTCATCCATTATGTAAACGAAATGGCAAAATTTAAAACATTCGTATGTGCCTCCTCGTAGCCTACAGTTTATTGACGACTCTTCCTATCCATTGTGGGTATATTCGTTTCGTTTTAGATATTTTATATGCTTCCGCTTTTTATGTAAACCCGTTCTTGTCACCACAAACGAATCACCGTTTGTAAGCGTCATCCGTAGCACTTCCGTACCGTTTGCGCACTACTTCCGTACCGTTTGCGTAGCACTTGCGAACCATTTCCGTACCATT